TGCGGTCGGGGCGCCCCGAGGGCGGCGGAGCTCCGGGCTAAGCGTTTCCTGGTGCTCACGGACGAGCCTCCGAGCCGTGTCTGCATCGTCGTAGCGCTGGGCGATTTAGGTCAGTGGGAAGTAGTGTTTATTAAGCGTTGACGTGCACTTCTGTTAAAGTTTTATTTACCTTTTTACCCCGCCCGGTGCAATCGCAATTCGCTTGCTAATAGTAAATCTCGGAAGGTAAATGCTATCGCTTTTCGAACTTTAGAGAATGGTATTTTTAGGCGAGGTTCCTCTTTGATAGCCTACTTGAGTGCGCCAGCTCGGTGTGCTTCCCGGGCATCCTTAAGGAAATTGTATGCAGCCGTGTGATTTTTATTAGCCATAAAACGTTTCTTGCTGTCCATAGGACCGAAGAAGAAAACACTCTGGAAGGGACTGGCTTGCTTGGAGGGACCTGGGAAAATGTACAATAGTTAAAAAGCAAACGATTTCAAGGTGAGTATGTCAGATCAGCCTCCCTGATTGAACGAGGTAGGTATTCATACCGTATTGTGAATGATTTTGTTACGTAATGAAATCACTAATGCAACGGATCAACATTGATTAAAAACTTTAAAACCTGGGCCTGGGATTTAGCTCGGTGGTTCTGCCGCCTGCCTTGAAAGTGCAAGGTCCCGAATTTGATCCCCAAAACAAAAACCACAACAACAAAACAATTTAAGAACCTGTAGGAGACAGTGGGTTTGATTACAGAGCTTGAGAAGAATTAATACTATTGGCATACTATGGAGATTTCAGTCGCTCATTTTAGGAAATGGATTTTTGGTCGCGCGCGCGCGCGGGGGCGGGGGGGGGGCTGAATCTAGAGTTGCCGGCTACTCTGGCAGTCTGCCAGCCCTGTTAATAGCTCAGGAAGTTAGCACTCAGGGAGGTGGCTAAGAGGGCCAAAGCTGTGGGTGTTTTCTGCATATTCACTCTTATTTGAGTGTTAAGTATTTGTGGCACCTGGGGCTGCCTGGGAATGTGGGGGAGGAGCGCCAGCCTTGGAGAGCCATTCCTGTACAGGGAAAGCGACTGTCCACAGGGGATTGCCTCCCGTGACCACAGAACTTGCCTTAGAAGCTGCTGCATGGTGAAGACCTATGTCCTACAAATCACTTTACATCTTGGCTCTATCACTCACTGTGCAAACCCGGGAGAATTAACTGCTCCTTCGCTTTCATCGTCTGAAACGGGGATAACAGAGTGCTCACCTTGTGAGATTGGTGCAGGAAAGTTAAAGGACTATTGTACATAGAACACACTTAGAAATGCCATCCAGGGCGGTGGCCCAGGTATAGTTCAACACTCTGGGAGGCTGAGGCACGAATGCAGGTTTGAGCCCAGCTGAGGCAGCTTGGTGACCTAGTCCGTGTCTCAAAAAAGATCCCTGGGGCCATCGATTTAGCTCAGTGGGGCCGTTCTCCTTGCAAGCGCAATGTCCAGAGTTTGATCCCCCGTACGGGGGGGGGGAGTGTTGGCTATAGCTTATTGTGAAGGCCTTGGGGATTGAGTCTCCCCAGTAGCACCATATAAAGACAGTTCCTAGCACGTGGTGAGTGTGAGCTAGAGGAAGTATGTTTTATGGCCTAAGACATTTTACACTGTTTTAGAGGATATTCCTTGTGCCCATTGGAGCTCTGAGTGATTTCTCCCATTTGTGAAGCCCATTACTGTTGGTGCTGCAGGACCTCTCTGGTCAGTACTCACACACGGCAGCTTCTCGAATTCCATGGCCTGGGAGCCACGCCCCAAGCATTGTTCTTCCCATACCTGTAAAAGGTACAGGAATCTTTCTTCGGATCTAGACAGTGAGCATTGCAGTATGCACTGCAGTGTTTAGGGAGTTAATCTAATCATGTTTAAGATATGTTTGTAAAGGTGAGTGATAAACCATAATCCCTCCTACTTGCAAGCTGAGGCAGGAGGATATTTGGGTTCCAGGCTACCCTGGGGGCTAGCCTGTAAATAGAGTGATTCCCTTCTTCAAAATAAAAAGCTCAGCAGCACACCACTTGCTTGTCTAGCACACCAGATAACCCTGGGTTCAATCCCCTGTGCTGCCAAAAAAAGAAAAAAGAAAAGGGTAAACTAAAGGAGCGTTGTTTTGTCTAAGTGGGCCTCCCAGCCTTTAGAAATTTGCTTCATTACTGGAAACAGACTTGGACAGAATCCAGTTTGAGATAAAGGACTAATGGTACACCAGCCCTGGCTATAGAAATGCAAGTTTACTTTGAAAGAAGTGATCTTGTGAACCTGAAATAGCTTCGGGGGTTTTGTTTGGAGGCAGCTATATAGTCTAATTTGCTGCTGTGAATGAACTTGTACATGAAAAGCAAAGTGGGCTGGGCATAGTGGCGCACACCTGTAATCCCAGCATTTGGGAGGCTGGGGCAGGAGGATCGCTGTGAGTTCAAGACCAGCCTGGGCTACATAGTGAGTTCCAGGTCAGTCTCAACTACACAGTGAGACCCTGTCTCAAAAAACCAAAAACAAATGGAAAGCAAAGTGGTCTCTAGCCTGAGGATGTTTTCTGCTCATACTTCTGACTATAGTTCTAAAGGTTTAATGACAATGACTTGAGATTCTCCTGAGATACATCACTTATAAGGCTAAATTTGTAGGTAAGCCTAGTGCTTATGAAGTGGTCATGTCAAAACTTAATTGCACAGTTCCATTTCTTTGTTTTGTTTTGGTTTTTCTGAGACAGGATCTTGCTATGCAATTCTCACTGATCTTGAACTCTGGAGACCAGGCTGGCCTTGAACTCTCAGCAGTCTGTCTTTCTCAGCCTTTCAAGTACTGAAATCCAGGCATGGGCCACTACCTCCCAACTGTTTGCCTTTTGTAAATAAAAACGAACCCACCTCTGAACAGATCCATTCATGAAGTATGGTGCTGGCAGTCTCTGGTTGCATCAGAACTGTGAGCAGCTGGACTACTGTCCCACTTCACGGAACTCTCAGGCAGTGCAGTTTCCTAGAAGTAGGGTATACATACACTTGGAAAGAACATCACCTAGATTACGTACTAAAATCTTAACTATGCTACAAAGAGTAATGAGCCAAAGAAGGCAATTATTGTAACAATACCAGCTTGGAATACACCCATGTGGTGAGGGATTTGCCTAATGTATTCTAGAAGACCTGTGTTCTTGGGGAACGTGAATGTATGTCATATACAAGGAAGCCAGGAGTAACTCCTGCCCCAAGTCCATACCACGTGACATAGCTTCTTATTTCCAGGGGAAGCGTGACTATGACCAGGTCTGCTGAGGCCAGATGGAGACCAGGTTTTAAAATAGCAGGATTGGGCAAAAGATAGATTTCTTTGTTTTTTGTTTTGTTTTTCGAGACAGGGTCTCACTATGTAGTTGAGACTGACCTGGAACTCACTATGTAGTGTAGCCCAGCCTGGTCTCGAACTCACAGAAATCCTCCTTCCTCAGCCTCCAGTGCTGGGATTACAGACATGCGCAACGACACCCAGCTAGATTTCTTTGTTTTCTTTTATTTTGGTACTGGGGGTCGAACTCCGGGACCTTGCGCTTGCGAGGCAGGCAGCCAACCACTGAGCTAAATCCCTGGCCTTTCCCTTGGATTTCTATTTAATGGTACTGACTACAAATGTGTGAAGTCATGTTGACCATTTCATGGTTAAGGAACAAACACAGTGCATATTGCAAGAGTGAACATGTCTTGCTTACTGTACATATGTGGACCATGTGTGCTTTGAAGTCCGTATACTTCTCATTTAGATAGATCTTAGGCTCACAGCACATTTACTCCCTAAATTGACATGTATCTTCAATCCCAAATGCGTAGACTATTAAATGCACACTAATAGGGGCCGGGCATTTAGCTCAGTGGTACTGCCTGCCTTGCAAGCTCAAGGTCTTGAGTTCAATCCCCTGTACCCCCCCAAACTATATTATATATACATTTAGGTATACATATGTATATATGTTGACCTAACACAAAAGCGGTTCATTGAATCAGAATGTAAATTTATACCTGGATAAAAGGACTTCACAAAGCTAACTAAAATACCATTAAGGAACTGTTCCTTAAGTCAACAGTCTAACACTGAAACACAAATAATCCTGATAAAACACAATAGGCTGGGTGTGGTACTTCATGTACTGAGGAAGCTGAGGCAGGAGGTTTGCTGTGAATTTCAGGCCAGCCTCAGCTACATAGTGAGACCCTGTTTTTTTGGTGTTTTGTTTTGTTTTGTTTTGTTTTGTTTTGCGACAGGGTCTCACTATATAGTTGAGACTGACCTGGAACTCACTGTGTAGCCCAGGCTGGTCTTGAATTCACAGCGATCCTCCTGCCTCAGCCTCTGAGTGCTGGGATTGTAGGTGTGTGCCTCCACGCCCAGACATACATATTTTTTAAAACAGGTTCAGCCCAGCGTGGTGGCGCACACCTGTAATCCCAGCACTCAGAGGCTGAGGCAGGAGGATCGCTGTGAGTTCGAGACCAGCCTGGGCTACACAGTGAGTTCCAGGTCATTCTCAACTAAAATATGTACAATGCTTGTTCTTTTAAGTTAGTTTTGGAAATGTAATTATGAGCTGCCCCATGTTTTAAGAAAATAATACTTTAGAGAGATTTTTCTTTCATATCAATGTGATATATTTTCACTCATTTATTTTCTGGTACTGGGAATCAAACTCTGGAACTTGCAAGTGCAAGGTGTGCATGGTGCCACTGAGCAAAATCCCTGACCCTGAAGAGCCCTTTTAATTTTGAACAGTTCAGTCCCACAGCCAAGAATTTTAACAGTTGTGTTTTAGAATCCCTTTTCAACCTGTTCAGATACTTTACTGGTTCTAAAAATTAATTAATGTATTTACTTTTTGGTTTGTGGCTCAGGCTGGCTTTGAACTCCCAGTGTAGCCGGGGCTTTTCTCGAATTTATGATGATGCCCCTGCTGGGATTATAGGTGTGGACCACCACGTCCAGCCAATGTAGTCATTTAGTACACAGGAAAAAAATGTTGGTTATCCCTAGTCCTTTTTCATCCAAGATACTGATCTCGATGAAAATGGAGGAAAGGGTAGAGTTTGGCATTTCCAGCCCCACAGGCCCTGTCTATAGCTGGAAGAATCAAAGGTGTTCCCCTGGGGACTCCCTTTCGTGGCATGTAGGACTCTATGTGAGCACTGTAATGCTAAGTACCTCCAGTGACGACCCGAGAAGAGAGCAGTTTTAAGCTGTCTACATAGATTAGGATTTAGGGGAATACATTCCGTAGACCAAGATGTGTTGTCTTTGTATGTCCTTTAACCTATGGATACCTGAGTTTATTCTGATGAACTGATTATGCAAATGATTTATTGACCAGTATTTCTCACATGTAGATGTATTTTATCAATTTTCAAAACTATAAGAGGTATTTGACCAGCATAGTGAACCTGTTAGCCCTGCTAATCGTGTTTCCATGGCTTTACTCCTTTTTATTTTTAGTACTGGGGATCGAACTCAGGACCTGGCACTTGCGAGGCAGGCACAGCGCCACTGAGCTAAATACCCAGCCCTCCATGGCTCTATCTATCTATCTATCATCTATCTATCCGCCTATTTATTTAGTACCGGGATTGAATTTGGGACCTTACACTTGCGAAGCAGGCAGGAGAACCACTTATCTAAATCCCCGGCCCCATGGCTTTATTTCTTAAGTCACCTGAGCCACATCTCCATCCTCTTTCTCCTGTTGGATGAGGTGGAGCAGATTAGGTGCTCCTGTGTGCTAAATATTTGCAGCAGGAGGAAGACGGGGATGAAGGAAGAGGAAGGGCAATGAAATGGAGCAGAGGAACGCATTTGAGGTGAAGACTCACGAGCTGGTCCCTGGGAACTCTGCAGGACAGGCTGCTGGTGAAGCTGGAGGGTGGGGACTGTTATCAGGGTCCTGGGAGGGAGCTGTTGACAATAACAGTGAAAGCCAGAGCCAGAGGGGAAAGTACAGTCTTCCTCAAAGAAGTCGGCCTCTAGAGATCATTGTAGTGCCAGTTTGTGGATGAGTTTAAGAAATCAGAGTGCAGTGGAGTGAGAACGGGACCGGCTTAAATCAAGCTGTCCTCAAATGCTTATCTCTTGGTATCCATGGATTGCTTCCATGTAGGAAATAATTCCGTGAGGCAGACGCACTCTCCCTCTTGCATGGCCTTCAGTCAGATCCCGGGCAGATCCTTAGGATGATGAAAAATGGTGCCAATGGCCCGTGCAGTGTGCGTTACTAACGCTCCCATCTTGAGAATGAGGAAAGCAAAGTGAGAGTGAGGACTCCCAGCCCTCCCGTTCCTCCCAGATGGACCACTTTTGACATCCAGCACGCTCAGACCCACCAGCGTGCTGGAGCTCATGCGGAAGCCCGAATCCCAGAGCCAGCGTGGTGCTGTGGGGAAGGAGAAGCAGGGTCTGGCTTCGGGAACTGAACTGGGCTTGGGAGGGCCCCGCCCCACTGGCCTATGCCCCGGTCCCCGGCTCAGCCCACACCTTCCCACCTCGGTGGGGTCAGATGGGTCCTGTTGGTGCCTCCTGGACGTGGGAGGAGAGGTCCATGTCCATAAATAGGGTACAATGCAGTAAGAATGGGGAGAGGTAAAAAGCATCCAAAACTCCATTTAGGATGCGTCACCTGCCTGACATTTCCTGAGAGGGAATCCAGGGCCTCTGGGCCACTTGTTTACTCTGAGCCTGAGCGAAGACAAGCTGCTGGAAGAGGCAGACACAGATAACAAGAACATGCTTTATTAAGAACTAATCTTCCTCAAATTTTTCATGATGGGGTAGCACATAGCGTGAAAATGTGGGCATACGGGGTCCTAACTGCCCAGGGGGTCCGTCAGGCTGGACCTTTTTGCCTCTAAGGCATCGACGTCTGTGTGGAGCCTGCTGAGGGCAGCTCCTGGTGGCCTGCTCAGAGCCCTGTCTCCTGCGTCCCATGGAAAGGACGCTGTGGTTCAGCCAGTGGAAGGCCCGCCCCTTGAGCCGACTGGCGGTGCTCAGTAGTCTGGCGCCGTGGTCCCCCAGGTGTGGGGAGGAGGTGGAGGGCTCTGTGGTGCCTGAGTTGCGGCTGCTGCTCGCCTTACCTGCCCTCTGCCGAGAAGAGGAGAATGAGTTAGAGATAGGTAATGCCCACAGCTCAGATGTAGTGGATGCGTGCTCCTTCATGGGTTCACATCCTTTACCAGAGGAGGCAACTTCAGTGCAGTCACAATAATCAGAAGGACAGAATACACACGCACATGCACACACACACTCACACTGGCGTCACAATCAGCGCTTCCCTTCGTTTCTGCCCTCCTCGCCCCTGTGCCCCTGGGTGTTTCCCTGCCTCTCCTCCCCAAGTCCTTTCCTTGCTGTCTTCCTCGGCCTCCTGCTGGTCTTGACACAGTAGCTCCCTCCCGCCCAGATCGGTGCTGTTCACCTGCTCCCCGTCGGGCCTGGCCCTTGCTGTCTGGGAGGCAGCTCGGCTCACCTCAGCACGTTCCTGTCCCTTCGGTGTCGCAGGCAGCTCTGGGAATGGGCCGACATCTGTGTTTCCTGATGGTTTGCACATGGGCGAGTCAGGATGCACCTCGTGTTCCTGCTGAGTGAGCTGGGCAGGGAGACAGCTGCTCGGCCCGAGGCCTTCGACCATAGTAAGTTTGAGGACATCGCAGTCCTCATCTTTCTTCTTTCTCTGAATTTTTTGGTGATTTTTTATTGTCATCCTTTTGGATTTCTTCATCATGAGTGGTTGAGTCTTCCAAGCCATTTTTGTCAGCCCAGGCCACAGAGATACCTAGTTTGTAGATCTGCTGTGGGTTATCCCGAAGTAGCTGTTGTAGGTTGGGCCGTCTCTTTTTCCCTTCAGGCCCCCACCTGCCTTGGCCAGGATAGATGAGGTCGCCTGAAGAACGCTCAGGGGGTGTCATGTCTTCAAGAAGGATGATATCCTCGCAGGATGGGAGCTCTTCACAGGGGAGGCAATCCCCAGGGAGCTTCAGTGTGGATTTGTTTTCACAATTGAAGTCCTCTGCGTCAGAGGGGTCGCTGCTAGGGGATGTGGATGCCATGGGGTTGAAGAGCCAATGTAGAGTCTCTGTCAACGCCGGAAGCTTCCATGGGGGGAAAATGGGAGATATTGGGGAGAAAATTCACTACCAACTCCTGGAGCACACATGGGAGATCCAACTCCTAGAGCACAAACAGGAGATTTGCGGGAGTCTTGAGCACTCAAGTGTCAGTGGCTCATGGTGAGCTAGGTCATAATCCGTTTTCTGTGACTGCTGGTTACCGTGGCAATATCCAAACCAGTATGGTCAGACAGTAGGAATAGAGAGAAAGGGGACAGGAAGCCATAGGATCTATCCCCTTCCTTCTGAAATAACGTGACCACACACCATGCAGGCTGAAGGACCCCTCTTGAGGCCAGAAGGACCAATGCCACAGGGTGGGGGTTACTGTCCTCTTGTCTTAGGGCATCTGAGATCCTTCCTGTCCTCAGGGAACTGAGACCTTTTTGGGGAAGAGCTGCATAAATAGCCTAAGACAGTCAAAGACTGGCTGATAAGTACAACAGAAGAGTTTAAAACTTGGTCCTGAGAGGATTGTGGCCCAGAATTTCAGCTCATTCTTTGGCTGCTCAAGGTCCTAGGTTTGATTCCCCCCACTGGAATTTTTATAAAAAAGAATCGATCTTTCCCCACTGGGAAATTTCATTTCTCCTTGGCCAAGCTACAGTCCTTTCAGTTCTGATTTCCTCCCCCATCCAGCGGGCTGACCTGGCATCTCCAGATGCGTGGCCCGTGTCCTTCAAGTAGCCCAGAGTTTAGCTCTACACTGGTAACTTGCAGTGGGTTTTGTGCTCACAGCAGAGTTCCTCACAAGAAGGTGGGTTTTAAGTACAGCTCCAGCTAATTCATATAGTCCTTTCACTCATTCATATGCACTGTATCATCCGTTTTTGTAGTGTGTTCGTAGTTGCACAATCATCACCAATATTAAGAACACTTTTCCCAATCCTGAAGAGAATCTCCGTACTTTGTAGTAATAACCCCGCTTTCTCAACCCACCTATTCTTAGGCAGCTGTTAATGTATCTAGTTTCTACCTCTGGAGCTTGGCATGTAATTGAGCATAATTGGTGTTATGACTGTTGACCTGGTATTATGCTTTTTAGGCTTGTTTACTTGAAAGCCTGTATATACTGAGTTTTTCATTGCCAAGTTATATTCTACTGCATGGATAAGCCATGTTTTGTGTTTGCTTTCATGAGGTGCTTGGGTTGTTGTGAACGTTTTGGTCATTATGAGTGATGCTGTTGTCAGTTAAGAGGCTTCTGAATTTGTACTTCTCTTAGATAGAAATGTACAAGCTAATTTCATCGTAATGGTTAAGTGTAGTTAACCTTTGATCTAGCTACCAGATTGTAAACCTAAAGAGGATGTGCAGTTTTGTATAGCAGTATCTGAGTGTTTAGTTCATTTATACCTGTCCTCACAGGTGTGATTATGCCCATTGTCCAGAGCCTGGAGTGATGTGTCATTTTGGTCGTGCTTTTCAGCTTCTTGTGGTTTACTTTTATTGTGATGTTCAATATCTTTTAGAGTGCTTATTGGCCATTCGTGCTGATAAGGCAGGTTTCCCTTATGAGCAGTTTCCCTTTCCTGTGGTTGTCCCTGGCAACTCTGTTCCTATAGTATAGATAATGACCTCACTGTATCCTGTTTTCACAAAAGTCTGTTTCCCCTTCCTCAACTGAAACCACTAGATGTGCTGCACTGCAAACTCAGCATGTAACATTAACCATCTTTGTTCTGCTTTTGTAGCCTTGCTTCCGCATACAGCACTATAAAGGAACCATATATCTCCCATTCGGGGCTCAGAGTTTGAAGTACCTAACACTTCTGGGCCAGCCGGTGTAATAAAGCTTGGTTTCCCTCCCCTTCTCTGAGTGCCACTCAGTTTCTTCACCTCCAGTAAACCATACAACTGCTGTAGCAGTGTCTCTAGAGAAGCTCTGTGGTCTTCATCGACGCCTCTAGCTTTCTATTTCAGTCATCTTAGTAGGGTTCTGTTGAATGTTTGATTGTTTTGTTCATGTTCTTGTTCCTCATGGATGACTGTGACTGTAAGGGTTTATGGCCAGGTTCCACTCTATTGTGGATCAGGGCCTGTTGTATGTCATATAGCCCTTGTCTTACTGACTGCAGATTGGTTGTAAGTTCTGAATTCAGGAAGTATGAATCCCCTAACTTTGTAAAACATTGTTCTGGCTCCTCAACCACTTCATTTTCATAGGAAGTTTTGATGTTGAGCTGGGGATTTAGCTCAACAGCGGCAGGCCTGCCTGGCAAGTGCAAAGTCCTGAGTTTGATTCCCGGTACCAGAAAAACAGCATCACAGTGTCTGCAGGGGTTCTTGGGGATTTTTAGTCCATGCTGCATTGAATGTAGGTCATGGGAAGGGGTTGGCACCTTAGTACTGTCTTCCTTGCCACGACATGAGATTGTTTCCCATTTAAGAAGGTCTTTGATTTCTTTTACCAATGTTCTGTGATATCTAGAGTATAGATTTCTTTAGCAGGGTCTCTTTTTTGGATTTTTTCAGTAACCCAGAGACTCCTTGCTGCTCTACATCCCACCCACCTTTTTTTTTTTTTTAATTTGGAACAGCATCTTGCTAAGTTGTCCAGGCTGAGCTGGAACTTGATGTTTTCCTGCTTCAGTCTCAGCATGCTGGGGTTACAGGTGTGCACCACCACAGCTGGCTGACATTACTTTTGTTAAATTTATTGCAAAGTTTTACTTTTCCTGCTACTATAAGTGGAATTGTTTGCTTGATAGCTATTGAGAAGTGCAATCAGCTTCATATGTTTATGTTGTATTTTGTAAACTAATCAAATTAGTTTATTAGATTTTTGGTGGACTTGATATGATTGTGTACATACAAGAACATATTAGCTGCAAGTAGAGTTCATTTTACTTGTTTCTAATCTGAATCTTTTCTTTCTGTGCATGTAACTGTAACTGGTATAAAGGGGAGTAAAACATTCACTACAAGTGGCAAGAAGTGATGTGTGTGATGGTGCCTTTTGGGAGTTCTGGCCACTGATTCCCATTATTTGGGAGGCTGAGGCAGGAGGACTGCCAGTTCATGCCCACTTGTGAAATTTGTTTTATTTTATTTTTTTTGTTTTCTAGTACTGGGGAGTGAACTTAAGACCTTGCACTTGCAAGGCAGGTGCGATGCCACTGGGCTAAATCCCTGGCCCTCCACTTGGGAAATTTAGCAACTTTGCAAGACTGCATCTCAATTTTTATTTATTTAGTTTTGGTACCAGGGATCGAACTGAGGACCTTAAGCTTGCGAGGCACGCATGGTGCCACTGAGCTAAATCTCTGGCCCTGTACCTCAAAATTTAAAACAAGCGAGGGGCAGCTGGGACGTAGTTTGTTGTGAAGATTCTGTGTTCATACCAGGTATTAGCCCAAAAGAAAAAGGGGGGTTGGTGGTAGTGATAGACATTTGAGCAGATGTGGTGGCTCTTCCCTGTAAACTAGGCTGGCTGGGGCAACAGAATGGCTGTGAGTTCAAGGTTAGTATGGTCGAAATAGCTGGATTCTGTCTCCAGAAAGGGCACAGGGGTGGAGATTAGGTCTCATTCCTGTTCCTGGCATGACCGCTCACCGGGAGAGGCTGTCCTCCCAGCTGTAGGTGTGATGTGTTGAGAATTGAGTCTGGCTACCTTTCTATCAACTGGAGTTATCTCTGTGTTCCCATTCTGAACAGGTGCTGGATCCTGTTAGGCTTTTACTACAGTTATTGAGGAAAATTGTGTTTTGTTTTTTTCTTTCCCTTTTATCCTATTGATACTATAAAATTTTTGGATTTTGAGCCAACTTTGCAGTGTTTGACTTCTGATTTTGGTACAAAGGTAATGTCAGTTTTGGATGCAGTTGGGCACTGTGCCATCTTTTATGTTTGGTAATGGCGAGTGTACAGTTTTATCTTACTTTAGTTTTTATTTATTAATTTTGGTTTGTTTTTTTGAGAAAGGTTCTTGGTTTGTAGTTAGTGCTGGCCTCAGACTTGCAGCGATCCTCCTGACTCAGTCTCCTAAGTGCTCTGATTACAGGCGTGCACTGTCTCTATCCCAATTTTCTCTCTGTGTGTGTGTGTGTGTGTGTGTGTGTTTTAATCATGAATGGTTGTTGGACTTATGCCTATTGAGATGATAGTGTGGTGCCCCTGCCTACCTGGCAAGCACATGGTCCCAAGTTTGATCCCTGGTATCCAAAAAAAAAAGATTGTGTGATTTTTAAAAAATAAGTCTGGCTCTGTTAATATAGTATTACATTTATTTATTTATTTGGTTTCTTGAGACGGGGTCTCACTATGTAGTTCAGACTGCTCTGGAACTCACTGTGTAGCCCAGGATGCTCTCGAACTCACAGTGATCCTCCTGCCTCAGCCTCCCGAGCGCTGGGATTACAGGTGTGGTACATTTATTTTTTGTTTTTGGTACTGGGGATTGAACTTGGATCCTTGCACTTGTGAGGCAGGCGCCTGAACCACTGAGCTAAATCCCCAGCCCAATATTATATTTATTGATTTGCATATGTTGAGCCGATCCTGCATCCCTGGGATGAATCTTAGTTGGTCATGATGTATAATCTTCTTGATGATTTACTGCATTCTGTTTGCCAGTATTTTATTGAAGATTGTTGCATCTATATGTTCAGTAGGGAGATTGTTCTGTAGTTTTCCTTTTTGGTTGGACTCTGCTCTGGTTTGGTGTCAGAGTAAAGTTTGCTTGCAGGAATGACTTGGGAGTATGGTTTCCCTTTGAATTTCAATGAGAGGGCCATTCGAGGGAGGAATGTATGTATCTCAGC